CAAGGCCCCAGGCTCGTCCACACTCAACCTGAGAGTGAATGTGAAATATGATGTGGTCTCAAGAGAGATGAACGGTTTACTGGACTGAAAGGGATTGGCGTGGAGGCAATGTTAGCAACTACAGGCTTAGCAGCTGTTAGATGCTTCCCGAAGTCTGATGGCTGAATAGGACAAGCTGTTATGTAGGTTTCAGAATATAAAGCAGTGTCAGAATTGGGCCTGACTGGTAACAGAACAGCTATCAGGCTACATCGGCCTGGTGCTTGATAACACCTATGAGTGCCACTGTGCTCTCTTGTGTCTGAAAGTACAAATACATGTTTTCATATCTATGGTTTCAATAGTTTTGTTGGTGATCTATAAATATCCGGATTATTCGTTTATACATTAAACAACATGTTTATACATTAAACAACATGTTTAATGGAATACTGATGTTGATAAATAAGTATCAATGCAGAGGACCACAAAAAACCTGAACTGACAAATACAAACTATGTGACTAAAGGTTATATTTGAATGGTATTTGACAGAGGTCCCTGGTTTTGTAAACGTGAATGGTAATAAAAAAAAATGTTTTACATACATAACAAAGGTTAAATATAGGTTAAATTAGACCACTTTTCCATTCACTTACATGGGAAAATGTTCTTGGACACTGTAAGCCTTGAAATTATTTCAGCATGGTTAGGAATTAGGTTGGAAGTGGCAAAATGTAGGTATGCTTTCAGTGAGGTTTAAGTTATTATAAGAACATGAGTCAACAGTTAATCTGCAAAAAAGTGAAAACATTGTAACTTATTGATTAGCCTGTCTCCAATGTCGCTGCAACACCTCAAGTTTTTATTCTAGCCAATGAACTTGTTATACACCTCTTTCACTTCCATGTCTTTTCTTGACAACTGTTAGGAGCCAAATTACAGATTTGCAGCAATAGGCAATTGGTGAAAATGTCATAGAAAGTTATAAAATTAAAACACCCTGATCTACGCCTCTGTCAAGATCAGCAACAAACTTTAATGGGTTCTCTCTTGGCCCATGTCTCAACCTTCCACCGAGTTAGTTGTGGTTGTTTTTTGCATAACTATAAACATTATCCACAGATTAAGGGTCACAGTCTGACATGAGCAACTGATAACAATACAGCTCCAGTTAGCAGCAACACTAGCCTCTAATAATCAAGATAAATGAGACATGACAGATATGGAATACAGGATTAGGTTTATGAGTCTCTTAGCACTGCAGCCTATGAACTGGGATTTCCAACAACAGTGTTGTAAAACTTAGCTAACTTCTGTCTTGAATCAGTGTCATTCATCCCATTCAAAGCAATAGGTAATATTGTGCAGCAATGCTTTAGTATCAAGGGGCAGCAGACTGGTAAAATGTAAACAGTCTCAGGAATGCACTCGTCATACTGACCTACTTCTGACCTCCAAGGTAGAAGAAACAGCCAAGAAGCAAGTCTGTAATCTGGAACTGTGAGAAATCGCCAAAGCACATGGAGTCTGGAGATATACTCTAATACACCAATCTTATCAGTGTGCTTGTATGTCACACACAACTTCAACCAGTGTCTCAAAGTCCTGCAAATCTGATCTTTATTATCATTACTTAATTGGAAGCGAGGAAGGAGAACTACTGTTCAGTCTGACATGAGCAACTGATAACAATACAGCTCCAGTTAGCAGCAACACTAGCCTCTAATAATCGAGATAAATGAGTGAGGAAGGAGAACTACTGTTCTCCTTCCTCACTGGGAGGGGAATCATATCCTAAAAGGGGTCTTGAGTTAATGTTGAGAGGTTTTAGATAACCTTAATGACATCTTAATGGCTTCTGTCTGACTCGTCGGTCTGACTCAGTAGCACTCAGGAATACATTCATCATCATGACCTCATTCAGAAAAAGACATTGTTGAAAAGGTAACATGGAAATACACTGAATTCCTTACAGTGGTTGCCTGCTCCAAAACATAACCGTCCAACAGTTAACAACATGCCATTTGCATTTAGTTACAAGCATTTCTCCTTTTAGGGACATACTCAAGACTAGTCCCAATATGTGTTTGCCACTAGCTGGGTCCCACTAGATTCTGATCAGTCGACATCAGAATCGGACCTCTGAGCAACACCTGACACAGCAGACGCTGACTTCAGAGGGCTTCCTTCCTTCTCTCGTCCTTCCTTCTGTCCTACCTAGCTTTCCAAATCCATGGTATTTTACAGGGTCATGGGGGGTCAGAGCTGGACAGGAACTCACTCTGTCACGTTGAGCGACAGTCTGCGAAAGGTCACAGTGACTCAGCCTCGCCCTATCCTTCTGCACATCCACATAAACATCCATGGAACTGCGACTGTATATTGATAAAAACGTGCCAGGCTTCAGATCTGCCTCATGCTGGCTCTGACTCATCATGCAGGGCAGTTTCAGGGCGTTTAAGGCCATGCATGAGCTTTCATTGCTTCTGTAACATCATCTCCAAACACAAGGATTTTACTCTTCATTATAAATAAACTCAAGCATCTGAAATTGCATTTATGTTTGCTTTTAGTAGAAAATACTAAAAACTACTGTTTACTGCTAGTAGTATACTTTTTAAATTAGGACTGTACAAGATTTAATACTGCCACAAATCAGCTGTTCTCTGATTTACAACATTGCCCAACTAATCTCCAGACACATTTCTGCAGTCTAAGGGTATATTTTGCCATAACACCAAACCCTGTAATGCTGCATACTAGTGACAGGGATTTTTAGGAGGTGTTGCCTCATGTATGTATTCCATTGATACTGTGGGAGATAAAGAGAAATGGTATTCTTGAATAGAGATTTCAGAAAGTATATGAAGTTAACAAAATGGATTTAAGGCAGTTTTGCTAACCTTCAGAAAACTGCTAAACACAAACCAGACACAACACCTATGTAGAAATGATGCAGAGGATGCTGCAGACTACAGGTTGACCCAGCTCCTCTACAGAGAGGCAGACTGCAGCCTCCTTCAGTTGTTCACAGTGCTGAGTCAGCCGCCAAGCAAACATCCTCCTCCTCCTCCTTCGCTCAACATCCTGATCTCTTGAGGAAAACTGTGAGTTACCATAACACATGCGGCTTAAGGGAGGCGGTACATCCCAATTAACGTCTGCCTGGCCAGCAAACTCAGAGAAGATGTCCAAAGTCAAGCATTGCATTAAGTTGCTAAAGTGTGAAAGTAAGGAGGTGGATAAAATGCAGCTAACGATCAATATAACCAAGGATCCATCACTCAACTGCGACAGGATAAAAGTCTCTGTCTGAGGGAGACGCCTGTCAGGTCAGGACCTTACCGCCCCTTTTAGCCACAGACTGACTCTTGTTACGGTGTGTTGATGTATGGCCCAATCTGGGTCAGCTACATGGGGTAATATGTTTCTGTTATTATTGCTGAGGTCAATGTGCAGCCGGTCAAAACACGAGAGCAGACCCTCAGACTCTCCAGGCAGAAACATCATGGCAGATTGCTCACTTCCTTGCTTTTTGCCTCAATCTTTTGTTCTGCTCGGTCTTCTAGCCAAAATAAAGCCCTATCTCTCTACCAAAGACTTCGGGAGAGCTATTCATTCTCTTTTAACCTCTCAGTTAGATTATTGTAATTCCCTGTATGTGGGTGTAGCACAGTCACCTCTTAGTCGTCTGCAGTTTGTACAAAATGCAGCAGCTTGCCTTCTAACTGGAAAAAGAAAGCGTTATCACATAACATCAGTGCTGGCCTCTCCTCGCTGGCCTTCTGTCAAAATCAGAATTGATTTTAGGAGTTTATTGCTTGTTGTTAGGATTTCAAATGGGCTGGCACCAATTTATTTAGTTGAACTGTTGCACTTTCATAATCCCTAAAAAAACAAAGCATGTTCTTAGAATTTGGAAATTAAGAAAACAACTTCATCAATTTGTCAACACATGCACTGCAAAAAGTGAAAACACATGCGAATACAGAGACGTGCTGCAGATAGCGATAGTTTCTTTACTTGCACGTGTCATCAATGAGTTATTTTCTTAATATGCATATGTTTTTTCTATTTGCATGTGTTTTCTTAATTCACAGTGCGTTGAGCTCTCTCTGCACCGTACTGTTCAGCACTTTGGTCAACTGCGGTTGTTGGCATGTGCTAGATAAATAAACTTTGACTTAACTCAACTTGATTTGCCTAAAAACATGAATAATTCAGTTCCTGACATAGTCAGGACTATAAAAACAAGTTTCCACACCTCTGATCTCTACAATACAGAAATTAGCAGGAAAAAAATCCTAATTGCAAATACTTAATACAAACTGTCAAGGTCACACCATTGGCCTTGAACAGGAAACAATGCATCTAATACAGAAGAAGTGGAAGCTGTTGGACATTGGAGGATTTAAACAAAACACTGGGACTATTCATGTTATTCTACACGATTACTCTGTGTATAGAACATGGGATTGGGAGTTTGCACAAGGACTGCATGCTCAGGTAAAACACTAATCGTGACCACAGGTATTCTGAACCTGAGAGCAGGTACATGTTGTACCTGTGTTGTAAACAAACACAGATGTCTGGTCGTTGGGACGCTTGTCTGTGGTATTAGGCGCCATTTGCCAATTCACTACGACACGTTCACACAACTGGAATATTTTCAGTGTAATTGATCGGTGGGGGTGAGAATTCCCACCGATCCTCCACATTCCCCAGACTGAGAGCTGCACCGCCGCAGACACACACACACACACACACACACACACACACACACGCACACACGCACACACGCACGCTGGGCAGATGATCACCGATGCACCCGCAGAGGAGCCCGTGTGATTCACGACAGAGTTACGTAGTTAAATCGTTATTAGCTGCGTTTAAAAAGCCAACGGACCGTGACATTCCCCAAACCAAGGTGCAGTCCCCGGGTCCGCAGGGCGCCGTTTGAGACCTCTTGGTTTTATTTTTTTTTTGGTCAAGCGGTCTGGAGCAAACATGTCTCCCTACCTTGGACTCCGGTGTGTTTATAATCCGCTCGTATGTCTCCGGAGTGGGTCCATGGCGGTGGTTTCTCCCGGTGAAGCCACCCCGGTGCTCGGCGCTGTGGAGCGGGTTGTGCTGGAGGAGAAGGCGCAACTTGAAACTGACAGAGAGGGATCGGTCCACACCAGCAGGGCGACAAGGAGAGGGGGGGAGAGCGAGTGTACGAATAACAACACCACACCCGAGCACCATTAACTAATAAATCTAATGAGTCATCGTGCTTAGCTGTTATCTTGAGAGCATATTATTTGTATTACTCGGGTAACCATGTTATATTTTAGCACGTTTCTACCTCCTTCTCGACGACCACCCCCCCCCCGCGCCGCTGCTCGAGGTGAGCCGGCGTCTTTTAACTCACTTTAATCCGATTGGTCTTTCCCGCCGTGACGCAGCGGCGGTGCTGCCTTCACGTGGTGTCAGAAACTTCACAGTCATTAACACAACAATGGGGAAGGCGTGCGTGTTTTTACACCCTAGTGGAACCGCAGAGATTATTTTTAAAGGTTTGCTACGCTGCAGATGAGTCACACTCACCTGGTGATCGACTGCGCACACTGACTTGTGTTTAAATCAGACGTCTGAAGAGGTAGGTGTCAAATAACCGATGGCCCTAAAGGAGGCTTGATGACACGCTAGAAATAGAAAGAGCTGATTTCAATTAAAACTTTTATTTTATATATTTTTATTTTATAGTTCTGATTTTGCACAGTGGCATTGATGTAGGCCCTTTTTATTTTTATATTTTATTTATTTTAAAATGTTCTATTCTATTATTTACATTTATACTGTTTTTATTGCTTTATCATTTTGTCTTGTGAAGGGTTAGGGTTAGGGTAACCTTAATTTGAAAGGTGCTATTTAAATAAAGTTATTGTTATTGTTTTTGTTGCGGTTGTAATTATTATTAGTCGTAGTAGTAGTAAATAGAAATGATCAAATGTGTGTTTGAGCCATATGTGAAATTTAACCTCATTGAACGTCTTCATAGTTCCAGATATGTTTTAAGGATTTTAATGATCAGTGATGTGTTTGTAGCCCTCCAGTTCTACGTGGCCTTTGCTCAAGAAGTATCGGTGACACTGATTGGTTGCGTGACTTAAAGTAACACATGTAAATTCTCTGCCAAAACGAGTCTGTCTGCTGTTCTCTTTTTTTTCCTTGTATGGAAATTGAGAAAAATATAATTTTCCAGTTAAATTCCTGAACCCGGTTGTTTGTTTTCTATCAAAGCGTAGACGTGGATGTGCCGAGGTTTTAGAAGAGCTGAATCTTGCCTTTGTGGAAAACCACGTAAAGATTACAACTTGGGAAAATTATATGTCTCAAACAATCGTTTTCAAATGGCAAGAAATCACATGGAAAACAGGAGAGTGAGTCTCTGTGGCTGCTTCCCACAGACAGAAATATGGATCATTGATTCGCTGCTTTGTTCTATCTCAACCACAACATGAGCCAAGACATATCTCCATGCTATGTAAACACATTGTAGCCTGTATGTCAATGACCCAGCAAATCCAGGCTGCTAATCCTAAAACCTATTAAAAGCTGTAATGATTATTCTGAGTGTCGTGGATGATTCAAAAGAAAGGTCAACGACATGAAGGCCCTTCATAAAACTGCTCAGCTATCAAAGTCACTGACGCTTCAGATTGGGCACTGCTACTAACAGATCACAGGCTCGCAAAAACACTGCAAACTCAAGATAAAGTCCATGCACTTTGATTATGAATAGGTCCAAAATTTTGGTGAGTACAACATTATGCTGAGCCCTCTCGTGAGACAATGTTGCCTTGCAACTATCAGCTATCTGCAAATGCTCTGGAGCATCCTGCAAGGCAGCCATCGTTTTGTCACCTCTTGACAGTGGAGGTGGCTGATTTCAAGTCAACAAGTCAAAAAACTAATAAAAACATTTAAAAAATATATATATACAGAATGTGTACATAATATGCACCCTTCACTACATGAAAAAATATTGTTCATATAGAAAAAATAAAGTATTTCAGGGAAAGAAAGGAAGAAAAAGGACATTTAATGGGATTATAAGAGATAAAGGGATATGATTGGATTAAGTATAAAAAAAAGCACAATATGATGCCAGATGCAGATTGTTATTCTTAAATCATGCAGCATCATACAACCCTAATCCTAATACAGTAGAAATACTGACAATTACAATGATTAAAGAATCATTATACTACCTCTAGATTTACCTCATACAAAGGCCACGTGATGCTTTATTTTATGGTGGTTTAAAAAAACTTTTAAACATCTACCTCCCTGTAGCTTAAGGTGAATTAGTCTGTGCTGCTACATATTAATGCATTACAGCTGGATAATTGCAACTGAAAAAAAAATGTTTCTTAATGTCAGTATTAAGAAAAGTAGTGAACAACAAAACAAGTATTTGTGAAATGTATATAAATGAAGTGCATCTCTTCCTTATGAATTAGAAACATTGCATCATATCTCTCATATGGTGCTAATACCAGGTCCAAGCATACGCTAATTGGAAACAGCAACATTTTGACTGTGAGAGGATTTGCAGGCAGGAAAACACTCCGCTTCCACCACGACATTCCACCTATGAGGTTGCCAATCAGAACAAGCTGCCCTAGTTGGATTTGCACGGATTTGCTAATTAAACAAACCACAAGGGGACGGAGGATGTGAACCATGTCCACTTGTGTGAAAATGAGAGGAAGACGGGTGAGCAGCGATGAAGGAAAAAGGGTGCTGAGATTAAAAGTCAGGAGCAGAATGACTCGCTGTGGGGCACAATGCATCAGAGGGAGTTTCGCCACATTATGAAACCACCTCTGATTGTATTGAGCACCTTGGTTCCCACCACGCCTCTGCTCACCGCTGATCTGTCATCAGCCATTCACTGAGGATCAATGGGAGCCAGCGGAAGCATGCACACAACGGCTTGTCTGCATAAGGTGAGGCTGCCTGCACATTCTCAACATAACAAAGGAATTACACATGATGTCATCCCAGAAATCTTTGGAGACATCTGCCATATCACATCATCAAACATAGATGACAATGGACTGCAGCAAATCCTCATTCATTCTCCTGCGATGCAGCTAATAAAGTAGGACAATAAAGGTAAAGTACTCACTGTGCTGAGGGCAGACAGCTGACAGACACATGCAATATTCCTCTGGCCCGGATTTGTTCTCTTCTGTCTCCCTCCCTCCCTTTACCCCCCTCCTCTCTCTTTCTGCCTCTCCTCCCGCCTTCTTCCCCTCCTCTTTTCTCACCACGGCAAGATGCTGCCTGGACCAGTGCTCGTTGTCATGGTAACCAAGACTAAGGGGGATTGTCACGTGACCGGCTCTCCTTGGGCGCCTATTGGTCGGACGCGTTGAAGTAAGGAGGGATGGATGGGGCAGCGGGGGTGGGGGTGGGGTGGTGATGTCACACGCATCCCACCCGTTCACAAATGGGAGGGATCCTTGGGATCAGGCCGTCTGCAAGCACACACACACACACACACACACACAGAGACACAATGGGTGTCTTTTTAACAGTGGAGCTGCAGTAGAGCTGTTAGATGGTGAAGGATGATTTTACTGGACTGGCTTAGTGACATGCTGACTGACTTATAGGACTTCTGGTCTGAGGTGTCGGGCTTGCCTCTGGCTCAGCTGTCCCCCTCCCACAGTTTACTCTCATATGTGATGCTAGCGCTGCTGCTGCCACTAAAAATATGTGCTCTAGCCGGGGCCAGGATTTAGAAACAATACAAGCGTTACAAGACACACGAGAGCAGCCATATGTGGCAGCTTGACCTGCTTGGCCTACCAAATCTCAGCCTCTTCTACAGGGGGCCGCGAGGGGCCTATTTATAGCTCCACCAAAACCAGACCGGAGCATATCTGCTGTTCCCTCTCACACACACTGATCTTCATTGTAGATACAGGGGTCGACATTTAAACAGTAAAAAACACTGAGCTTTCAGGAGCCAACAAATACAATACAGAGGCTGACTGCTGTTCCTGCTCCTGCTGATAATGAGTTAATCACCTACATGTACAGAGTGCACTTGAGTTTATGTCAATGCTGCACATTTATCATTCTGCTGTGCTTTGAAAGTGATAGAACTACAAATAATTCAGCACCATGGGCCTGTTCTGAACAGTCCTATTGCTGTAATTGCATAAGTATTAGTGTCATGCTGTCATGAATTTTACAATCATTTTACAGGACTTAAAAGCTGAGGAAAAAGTTGGCACAAGAGCAGCGGCTATGAAAGCAGCATTTGATGCAGCTTTTGAGAGACAAGGGGAAAAAATTTTTCCCATGTTCATCAAGGCAATAAAAGATTTCATAGAGAAAGCCTGGGTGTTCTGCAGCCATTTTGGGGGAAAGTAGGTCTCTGTTATTTTACGCTCATTCCCAATGATGACAAGAGTAATCATAGTCCAGCATTGTTGTGCAGACGGTTGTGCAACAGTCTGGGATCGCTCCAGTTCTGCCAGAGACACACGGAAATGTTCTTGTTCTGGGAGAGTCTGATGTTTTTTTCTCTCTGAGCCGATGTCATGTGTCGCCTCTGAGCGAATCTAAAGTGTCCTGAAGAGAACGAGTCCTCAAAGTGGGTGACATTTTTTAGGCCATTTTGTTTTAGAGTTTAAAGGCATTTCTGGGATTGATAGCTGTCATCTCCTCCATCCATTCATCATCTAAGCTGCGTATCCTTTGAGGGTCACAGGGGGAGCTGAAGCCAATCCCAGGTAACTTCGGGCGAGAGGAGGGGAATGCCCTGGTCAGGTTGCCAGCGTGCAGAGACACACACCGAACACTGCAACAGTCTGGTTAGTGTCTCCAATTTACACAACCACAATGTTTTAGAACTGTGGTAGGAAGCCTGAATACCTGGAGAAACACCGGGAAAACCCTGAGAGAACATACAATCCACACGGAGAGGCCCTGTCCAAGCCATGCTTCAAACCAGTTCCTTCTTACTGTGAGACAACAGTGTTCACCACCGCATCACTGTGCGGTCCTCAGCCTTCGTTTCCTTATGGACAGAAATAGATCCTGACATTTGGACACTTTGCTCAGTTGGGCATGAACAAAAATCCAGACACCTGTTATCTTTGGGTGTTTCATTACACTCAAAACACACAGTAAGACATGAGCTGAAGATTGCACACTCTTGTTGGCCTATGTCTAAATATATTTCTTCAGTACACATTTATGAATGAAATAAAGCAAGATATATGGGATTGAAAAGGACACAACACCAGAGAGTTCATGCAAAATACTAAGTTTCAAAACCCTAAAAACTATCAAGATG